GCGTGCAGTACGGAATGATTCAGGGCGACATGCCTTGGCAGCCACACACCGATATCTTCGTCGACGAGGTCCAGGCCATCAAGCCGCTGGGCACACTTGCGAAGTACGCCGATGAAGTGTCACAAACCAAGGGTACGGAGGGATTGCGATTTGAAGTTGCGGCGAGTGCAATGAAGGCGTGGCACGAGACTGTCGATGCGGCGATGGAGCGCAAAGGGTTGACATGGGCGGATGTACTAGGCAAGGAAGAAGAAGCCTTCCAGCGACATTCGAAGAAGATCTTGAGCGTGGGCACAAAGGCTATGCAGAAGTATGCTGCGGAGACGAAGCTGACGAAGAAGAGGCTTAAGGCGGAGAGGTATGAGCAGAGGCATGAAGATTGGTTGATGGGAGAGCTCAAGGAGCTGGAGAAGCTATATTTGGAATAGAGTAGGGAGTGCGCTTCTGAATTCTGTGGGTTGACGCGACCTCGGGAGAAGATAAGTTAGGGTTGCACGAGCCCGGGGATCACATCGCAGCATGCTAGTAGATGGTGGCAATGCGACTGATAGCTCGACCAAAGTTCATGTCTACTGCGGTTAGCAAACAAATACTACCCTCCTTATGATGTCTGTGTGTTGAAGCGTTCCAGGTCCAGAGGAAGGGAAACTGTGTTCAGACGCACAATCACATGCTGTGCATGACTCGGGCGTGTGACGTACGGTTCCGGACCGGCTGCGCCACACTCCGGGTGGCAAACCACGCTCCCCTTAAGACATGCCTCTCTTCTCCACACTCTCCACCTCCAGCACTCAAACTATACACCTACATCCACATACACATAAACCTTCAGACCGCAATCATGGACGAAGACCTCATCGCGTTCGGCATCGTAATGCTGCTCTTCCTCTCCTTTCCCTTCCTCACGGTCCTCAGCATCACCGGCTGCGTCGCCTACTCGCGCACCAAGACGTGGGACAAAGCGCGCAACCAGCGTGCAGTCAGCCTCGAGTCCTCCAACGGAGAAACCAACCGCTTAGTCTCTGACGAGGCCGACGAAGAGTCCGACTTCTACGACACCGACGACGAGGAGGAGCACACCAAGGCCAAGGCGGAAGAGGAGGCCGACAAGTACCTTACCTTCAACCAGAAGTTCCGCAAGGAGTTCAAGAAGGTGTGGTCGGGCAAGGGCAAGGGCGATATCCTGAAGCAGAAGGAGCGCGAGGAGCGCAGGAAGCTGGCCAAGGCGGTGGCAAGGGAGATGGACCGCAGGGAGAGGAGGAAGGCGAGGGCTGCTGCCAAGGCACAGTCTGAAGACCTGCCGGCATACACCAAGGCGTAGTAGGACTACGTCGGTCCGATCTTCTCACGGAGCAGCAAGAAGTGCTGTGATGCAATGATGGAGACGGACACCTTTCTCTCTTGGCCCTTAAATTGATACCCCAAATTAAACATATTACCTCAGCATTTCTTCCACGACAGATTGAGTATCTGGCCGAACCCAGCATCCACCGAGCTCCCTTGCACGTAACCGTTTTTGTTCGACGTACCCGAATCCACCGTCGCAGAGAGACTAATCTGAATTCTCGCATCCTTCTTCTGGCACACCGACGCCTCCGTATCTGATATCTCACCGTCCTTGTGCAAAAGAAAGTCTTCCTCGAATGGCCCTGTTACAATCTTATGAATGTTGCCCTATCCTTCAAGTCAGTACCTCTAACAACTCTTCAGCCACCATAACCACGTACCTTGCCCTTCATATCCACGCCATTCACATCAATCCACTTCCACCGGCTAACCAAACTAGCCTCAACACCCTTCTCAATATACACATAGCCTCGGAAATCAGCCGAGCTGACATCGAACGCCCACCCCGGCGAGTTCATGCCTATATTCACTCTGCAGAAGGCGCGTGTCTTTGCAGTCCCTGCTTTTGGTCCGTCGGAAGCGGCGAAGTTGTCGAAGATGATGGTCAAAGCGGAGTTGTCGGAGGCGAGCATCACGCTGGCGTCGCCGGGCCTGCAGCCACTTCCATCGAGGTCGATGTCCAGGCTTGTTAGGGAGACGGCGCCTTTGGGTGGGAGGGCGGCTGCGGTGAGTGTGATGAAGAGAGTGAGCAGGAACGCGAGGATGAGTGACAGCATGGTGTGTTGAGACTACAGAGAGGAACACATTAGACCGGAAACTTGCACGTCTTATGCTCTTCTTCAACCATCCTTTTCCTGCCTAGTAGACCAAATACCGCCTTTTCTTGCCGTGATCGTTGCACTTCGACATCAATTCTTCGGTTGCGGCTGAAGGAGCCGTCAGGTCAGATCCCAATATGTAGTACCATGCTGCAATTGGCATTACACTTGCCTACATATAGGAGCTATATCCAACGAGCCGCTAGGATCGCTGTCAAAACGGGTTAGGTCAGGGCTCAGCCTGGGTTTCAACGACCCGACAGACTGTTCGAAAGTAAGGCAGGATTTAGCCTATGTGACACGCGCTTCCCACGATATAAGTCAACGCGCATCGTATATTGCTTACGTTGCACGAACCGAAACGACAATTGCTGATCTCTTAGACTGCTTTGAAAATCGATAGACCGGGCTGTATAGTTGTGTTGGGGATGGAGCGCGAGAGGAATTTGTGCTTCACTCATTACGTACAGAAAATGACTTGAACGTCTGCCGTAGACGTACAACGCTTTGAATACATGGATATCACTAGAATACTTCTTACAATTAAACAGCCTCAGTCCGCTGCACAGGCGCCTTCTCGTGGTGCTCACTCTCGTAATCGGCGTTCTTCCCATCTGCCTGCACAATGAACTCTTCGCGCTTCTCAAAACCAAACAACTGATCCATCTGATCCATGCGCAGTCCTTTGGTGTCGTGGATGAAGAAGAAGGCGTAGATACTAGCGCAAATAAGCGCGGTGGCGAAGAAGACGTATACGCCCCATTCCATCGAGGTGTACATTTGCGGCAAGGCCTAAAACTAGATTAGTATATCTATTACGTGCGACTGATAGGTGCTTACCTTGGTGACTACCAGAGTCCATATCCATACGGATGCTGCTGCCCATGGTCCCGATATAGAGCGCATAGATGCGGGGAAGATTTCGCTAGAGATGATCCACGGAAGGCCGTTCGCACCGAATGACCAGGCAGCACCAAAGATCATGATCATAGCGGTTGCAGCTTTGCCGCCAGCGACTGTAGACTCGGACATGGGCTCGCCCACTGTCGGCTTTCCTAGTGCGATGTAGACGGCGAGGTAGTACTGGCAGAAAGCACAGATCAAGGAAGAGATGATCCAAGGCCACTTGCGTCCAAACATGTCGATGAACCAGGTGAAGAAGATGATGGAACCTCCAGCTTTGATGATTCCGTAGATACCTGTCCAGAGAGTTACGTCGGACAATCCGATGGATGTAAAGATGGTTGGAGAGTAGTAGTTGATTGCCGCGGCACCACTCCAAGCTTGCCACATGAACATGAGGAATACCAAGAGGAATCTGTTCCGCATTCCTGGCATGGCTCCTTCGCGTGCTGCGGCTTTGATCGTTGTGAGGAAGCTAGCATGCGCCTCGCCATGTAGAAGTGCGGCACGCTCTTTCGCAATCTCATTTCGCACGTATTGAACATCCTGGGCAATGTATGGATGGTCTTCGGGTAGGTTACGGAAGTAGCTCCACGACTTCAAGGCCTCAGCCTCGCGACCGCGTTTCAGCAGCCAGGTAGGAGACTCCTTCAGAACCGGTATCATGAGAGCTAGCAGTCCAGCAGGGATGAGCTGAACAGCCATAGGCACTCTCCAAGCGATGGACTTTGAGCGGTCCATATTGTGTACAATGCCGTAGTTGATCCAGAATCCGATAACGGCACCCGTTTGGTAGAAAGATTCGAAGAACCCAGTGAGGCGTCCACGAATAGCAGGAGGCGAGATCTCGGCGATGTAGATGGGCGACACAGCGGCTATTCCTCCTACACCCATGCCAGTGAAGAACCGCCCGGCGAGGACGAGACTTAATTGGTTCTTGGGGACTGAGAGACACGGTTAGTACTGGAACAGATATCATATCGATAAAGGTTTCTTACCAGTGCACATGATCGCGCCAACGATGAAGATGGCATCGGAGATAATGACTGTCGCACGGCGACCAAGGAGCTCAAGGAATGGGTACATAAGCAGCGCTCCTACGAGTCCTCCAGCCGAATATATGGAGGTGATGTTGCTGGTGATCTCGTTCTTGTTCGATGCATTGATGCCAAAGTCTCGTTGGAAGGACTCCTGGGCAATGGTAGTGCCGATAAAGGCAGAGTCGTAACCATAGGCCAAAACGCCCATTGAGATGACGAGCGCGGCCATGTAGACCCTCCAGTTGTACTATAGACTACATTAGCACCTTATCATCTCACCATCGGTTAGCACAAGAACTTACAACTTCCGGAGGCGTTGGCCTGTCTTCGGGGGCGCGAGCAAAACCACCCATAATGACTATCCACCAGAACAAACAATGTTCAAGTTACCGGACGGATGTTGAAGCTGCAAAGTTCTGCAGTAGTCTTGATGCCGATCCCAAACCTGGGGCTCCCACGTTCTTTTGAACCAAACGCGCTTCCCCACAAAACACCCAGGCCATTCCGGGACGGACAACCAGGTTGCCACATCCGACCACGACCTTCCCCAGTGGAGTCTCCAAAGATGGCGCACTCTCGTCGCGTGGGTTCGGTGGCGTGGTGTGGGATCTCGTGGGCCTAGTGCAGCCGACACGCGAAGCTGGCGATGCGAGCGTCGGCAGCCCAACGTCACCGTCGCGGTCGTAGCCGACGGCGAATCGCGCGCCTTGGGAGCCGATGGAACATCCACACGTCTCCACGCCGAAGCGCGTCTTCTCGCATGCTCCATCGTACTACCGGGACGCGTCGCGCAGTCGTGGATGCCAAAATGCGGCGGTTTCGCTCTGCTGCAGAGATGTCCTCCACATTCGATTCCCCTCTGTACCTGCTCATCTCTTGACATCCTCACAAAATGCCTTCCGCAAACGGCACCAACGGCACAACAACATACTCCTTCCCACCGGGAATCCATGTCCCCTCATTGACCTGGTTCAAGAATGACACCAAGCAAGAGATCGATTGGGATGTCCAAGGAAAGCATTTCGAGTTCTTGATTTCCAACGGTCTGCACGGCATCGTCATCGCAGGAACAAATGGTGAAGCAGCAACATTATCCTCAGCCGAGAAGACGCAACTCGTCCAAACTGCTCGCAAGACGGCACAGCGCCTCGGTCGCGGAGATCTACCCATCACAATTGGAGGCGTAGCAGGCTGCACGCGCGACGCGATACAGCAGACTACTGAGGCAAAGGAAGCAGGCGCATCATACTACCTCGCACTGGTACCCTCCTACTTCCACTTCTCCATGAACCAGGATGCCATCGTAGCCTACTTCCAAGAGCTAGCCGACGCATCCCCCGTCCCCATCGTCCTGTACAACTTCCCCAACGTCGTGGCCGGCCTCGACATCAACTCCGAGATGCTGGATATCCTCGGAAAGCACAAAAACATTGTAGCCGTCAAGCTCACGTGCGGAGGCATCGCAAAAGTTGCGAGGATCAGTGCTGCGTTCGACAAGTCGGAGTTTGTGGCGCTGGCCGGCCAAAGCGATTGGCTTGTACCCGCGCTGAGTGTGGGTGGAATCGGCACCATTACTGGTGTTGCGAACTTGTACCCCAAGGTGTGTACTATCGCCAACGTTTTGCGTGTTTGGAAGCTAACAGATCAGTCCTGCATACACCTGTTTAATCTTTACCAATCGGGTAAGCACGACGAAGCGTCAGCCCTTCAGATCAAGCTCTCGGTCACAGAATGGGGTTTCGGGAAGGGCGGCATCAACGGCACCAAGTACGTCGTTGCGCATAAGAGGGGATACCCGGAGAGCAGCGCGGACTGCCGTAGGCCTTACCCACGATACACAGATGAGGAGAAGAGGAAATGGGTCGTGAACCAGGTGTCAGGTCTTGATGAGCTGGAAGCATCGCTATAGAATGCTGCTTCGCAATGAAGAATTGAAATGACAAAGTGCTTCCCTTCGGACATCTGAAGTCTTCGTGGCGCCGACAAAGCCCTTCTCTCAATCGTTGTGTCGTCACCTCAAAACGCCCATTGCTCTCGAAGATCCCTCAAGACGCCATCCGTCCTCCACCCTATCAGTCTCTGCAACTGTTCCAGATACTCCACACAAGCTTGCTGCTCCCGCGGATCGATGATATAAGCTCCACATGCACTCAGAATGTGACTACCCTGGAACATAGCGTTACCACAATGACTATTACTCACGCCATACCCTATCGTTATTCTCATGTGTTTGCGAACAGCCGCGTCGGTAGATTTCCTAGCCCGAACACCCGCTAGCCCGACTAATGAGGCGTTAGGCGAGTATATCGTGAGCAGTATCTTGCAAAGGTGGTAATACTGCAGCCCGACTGCCACGATCCCCTGCGGACAGAGCAGTTCGGGCCAGCTTCCCTCAAACTTGTCGCCCGCATCGGGTTCGACGTGGAAGGCCGAGAACGTCCAGGGCTTCGTCCGCTCCCACTCCTCGACTTCATCGTTCAATTCTTTCCATGTTTCGCGGCTGATGTTTTCGCTGCCATTGTTTGTGCCTCCGAAGACAGTTTGCAGGACGACGGCGAACAGGAATATGATGCGATTCGCCCAGCTTTCGTCGTCAAACTCGCTGAAGACAGCTGAGTGGCGGTAGTTGTCGAGGCTTAGGTTGAGAGGTTTTTGGGTCGTAAGAGAGACGTAGATGTGTTGGCGGAGAGAAACCCAGGATGCTGATTCGCGGAGGCCACCGTCTGCGGCGAAGGAGGAGATACTGTTTAGTATACGGGCGGTACCCTGTAATCATCATGTGGTCAGGAAAAATACACAGTCAAGCTCAAGGGCGAGAGAACGTACGAGGTGGTGGCAGTGTTCGTCGGCATCGCCCATCTCTTCGTGAAGCCGAAGCAGGATAACGGCTATGAGGAAGTTCTCATCCCAATGTGCCAGCGGGTCCTCAAGTGCTACGATTAGCGCCTGTAAGCACTGATCTACATAAGGCTGCGACACGTCTTCTACGGCCTTGCCCATCAGCCAGGAGTGTCTTGCAGCAACACCCAGTATGCCATTGAGAATGACGGGGAAGTGGGCTGCGCGTTTTGGTACCTCAGTAGCAAAGTGCCGCCGTGAGTCACACACATCGATCCACGAGGTGCAAAAGAAGAGGTAATGATGGAGGAGACGGGCTTCGTGTGCGTTGTTCACGGGCCACCTGAGTGTCGGCGCTGAGGAAGGACTGAATGCTGTGGAGTTATAAGGAGAGTGATTATTGTTGATCGATCCGAAAGGACTCTTCTTCGATAGACTCGGGGACTGTGACAGACGTTGAAGTGATCCGGGGCTTGCTTGCCAGTTTGTGTTCACTATTTGACTTATCGAAGACACGGCGCGAATGCTTTGCGGCGCACTATTACTGGTACAGCTCGTGATACCGATTAGAGACGGTGGGACCTGAGTGTTCAGGACCTCGTGGATGGAAGGTAACTCGCTAGTGTCGTTGAGGTCCGAGGTTGGAAGGTCCACGAACGAGGTTAGGTCACCGTACGTCGACGCCAGTTGGCTTTCGCTAGACACTCTGTTCAAATTTGAGTTTTGCCGCCGGGCTTTTGATGCAACGTCGAGAGTGTTGGGCGTGCTTTCGGGATTCGCTTCGCTTTCCGGCCCAGCTTCGTACTCTTCTTCGTCACCGCTGTCCTTGTTCGGCTCAACAAAGTGCACTACACCACGTTTCATCAGCGATTGTCGCTATTTATGAATAGTTTTCTACGCACATGAGCTTGGAATGTCAACCCACTGCTGTCCCACTTGGAACTCAAGGGACTGTTCAGCGGATCCTATGTCTTCGCCGGCGTTGAACTTGACCGCCGTGACAGGTCGGAAGCGAAAAGCATTGCCGCGAATGCATGGCTTTTTGCGCTCGGTGCAGTATTTGCATTTTTCCGAGTCACGTAGCTTCACGCCTATAAATTCCTACATTAAGCGTTTGGATGGCATTGAATTGTAAGAGCCCGTACATTTGATGTGACGCTCACGACAAGCTTTGCTGTTCAGCAATCAGCAAAATTCTACATGCGGGCAATCCCGCGGCTTTGACTAACCATCCGCTTCTCTGTCTCATCGTGAGGTCGGAGGCCCGAGGACTGTGAACGATGGAGTTGCTACGTTGAGCCGGGAAATCGATCCCATCTTGTCGGTTTTCCTTTCGGGTCACTTACCCCGCCCGCTTCGCATGCAACGTCCTAAGTCTGGAAGCTTGCGGGGCATCTTCCGATGGAGGAAAGCTTGGAACGTAATGCGCAGTTTGATTGGTATAGGTCTGAGCCGGAAATGACAAGTATACGCGCATTGACCTGTAAATGGCAAGGCTTCCCGTATTCTCTTACGCCGAAATTGTCGCTCGATACCTGCAAAAAACTAACAGAATTGCGACTGGCACTCGGCCACGTGTTTCTGGTGAGCTTCAATGTGCGTGTTGGAGCTGGGCTGAACATTACACGATTGCGAAATGGTTTGATGATGCGAAATACTCCTGGCTGACCAAACGCACGTCGACTCTTCGCTTGCCTTCATCCTGCCGTCTTTGCACTTCTTCCAACAGGTCTGCGGTAGCTTTCGCGTTGGTAGCGATGCTCTCGAGACTGCGAATGGCTTCAATGATCCATCTTCGTTCCTCCAAGTCGTCTTCTTCGCACCCCCACATCATCAGTGGCCACAAGACATTGACCGGCAGCGACTCGTCTGCCTGCGCCATCAGATGTGTCAGACGCTTTATATTCATTATGGCATTTATTACATCCTTGGTTTTTGGGTACTGCACGTACGCAACGCGATGCAAGTGTATGAACGATGCGTAGTAGTTTGCGAGATAGGTCCGGAAACTCCGTGTGAGTGCGCCTGCTAAGTTTTTGGCTATGTGTTTTTCGGTGAGGTTTCCAGCAACCGCATGATCCATCAATGCTGGTCGCTGGCCGTAAAGTGCATGTAGATCCTTGGAGATCTGTGCTGCGATGGCCATCACTTCAGTCTCATCCTGAACCGTGCCGCGTGTACGACGCCACGGGTCAATGCGTGTGATGCGACCGGCGAAGGACTGCACCTTTTGATAGAACATGATACCGGGATGATATAACACGTCAAACAGAATTTCCTCGATTTCGGTATCCGACGTGTCCGGATCTGACCCGGGATTGGCCGCAGGCGACGCATCAAAGATGGTCTCGTCTGTGTCAGCCAAGAAGAGTCCTTCTCCACCTGCTGTTGACACAGCGCGCGCGTCAAGTAGGCGCATCCATGAGATGAGTCGGCGTTCCGGTGCTGAGAAGGTGGTCTTGCTGGCACTCTTAATAAGTGTATAGGCTTCGCGTAGGTTCGTGTGGGCTCGTGGCAGCATTTCCGTAAGAAGATCGGTATAAGTCAGCAGGAAAAGGGCAGCGAGCATGTGTCTGAGGTCACTGTCCTCGACTACTCGCGTCTTTGCTAGGCAATTCGCTACCTGTCTGGATGCGGTCTCATACAAAGGCCTCCAGTCTGCCTTGGCCATGTCGTTACCCAGCCCACTGCGCTGCATCTGCATCGCGGCGAAAGCCATGATGGCACTCTTGACGATGGGTGACTCTGCAGCCAGAGTGGCAAAGAATGCCCGGGTAGATGCCCATTTGGGACCAGTTTCTACCGGCGTCAGGATGGGTGGCATGAGCATCTGGAGAAATGTGTGCAAGAGGTAATCTTCGTTCGGTCCAGTCGACGCGCCCTCGGTGGAGAACGGCGAGGTCGAAGCTGGATCAGGCTGGTGAAGTCTACGCTCTGGCAGCTCATGCACTTCATTGCTCGCAGAAGACGTTACTCCCAGGGTCTGACTTGAAGATCTATGAGTCGGCCGGGACTGGTGAATGGACTGCGAGACCGGGTCCGAATGTGTTGCTACGCTCGCGAAAGACCCAGTGTCAGTTGGCCATGAGCTGGGACTCAACAGCATAGCTTCGTCCCAGGTGCCCAAGCTCAATGGCCCAGATAGGTCAAAACCAAACCCGTACCCTTCCAAGGGTAGTGGACCAGAAAAGAAGGGCTGATGCTGGCCAGTGTTGAAGGAATGGGATGGATTGGTAGTGCTACGAGCCGGCGTGCGGTTCCAAGTGCAATCGAGATTCAGTCTTTCGCAGTGTCCACATCTGGGCCTCTGCTCATTACATCGCACTTTCCGCCTCCTATGTCGATGAGCGTTGGTGCAGAGTAACGAAGAATTTCCGCGTACCTGCACGCATTGCAGCCGTTTTTTGACCGCGCAGGGCGAGGCTGGGCTGGCGAGGATTCAGACACGGTCGCCGAAGGCACCAAAGGTGGCTGAGTTGGTACTGGCGGCTGCGACATAAGCGATGATGGTTTCTCGATTCGCTCTCGATTCGAGATGGAGATGAATCTGATTGCGATGACTAGGGTATGTAGAACCGTTTATGTATGCTGCACAGCGGAGTAATAGTATGTGTGTGGGGGCCAATCAGCTCAGGCGCTATCTCGGTGTTTATGCGCGGGTGGAGCAAAGGAACGGTCGCGGCGCACGCCTGATCGAGATTTGCGCATCGTCACTGTGACACCTGGGCACTAAATACACTCAGTAATATGGGCTTCTCCGTTGCGATGTGGACAATTTGCGATGACCCGTTGCATTTGACGATTTTCGCAAATCTATGAAGCTCCAAACACCTCTACTCTTACCTGGCCGACATCCGCTCCCGTCGCCAAATCTTCACAGGCATCTCCCCCAGGATCCAGTTCATCGTCTCCAGCCGCTGAAGCTCCCAATTCGGACTACTCAGCGCAAAATCATACCGCCTCAACACACTCGCCAACACCACCGTCTGCTCCAGGTACGAGATGTTGCGTCCGATGCAGCCTCTTGCACCTGCCGAAAAGGCCAGGAAGTAGGGCTGTAAGGCCTTGCCTTCTTCACCCAACCAGCGCTCCGGTACAAACTTGTCGGCGTGCGGGAACACGGACTCCTGCCGATGCGCAACATATGCAGACATGGCGACGGAGACTCCGCCCGGAATGTAGTCACCAAGGATGTTGACGCCCTCGGCTGGCGTCTGTCGCGGGAGTCCATGGGGTGTTGGTGGGAAGAGCCGGAGCGATTCGTCGAGGCATGCACGGAGGTATGGTAGGTGTTTTACCCTGTCGTAAGCGACCACCCCATCGCCTTCCTCTTCATCGTCTTCCAGTGCCGAATCGATCTCTTGCACCAACTTCATCTTGATATCCGGATGCTTGATCAATTGGTACATGACATTGGCCATCGCAATCGCTGTCGTAGCAGACCCGGCGTTCATCATGATGCTCACTTCCGCGACGATCTCGCCCCATTCCAGGTTGTTCGGATGGCCGTTCTTGTCTTCCATCAGCGTTTGGAAGAAGTCGTCGAGCTTCTCCCCTGCCCTGTACCGCTCCAGGCGCTTGTGGGCGAGTTGAACCGGTACGCCCTCCCATTCGTTCGCATAGTCGCTCATGCGCTTGTAGAAGGGGATGACGTTCGAGAGTTTGTTGATGAGCGGATACCAGTCGTATGGCCAGATCAACAACGACTGCTTCCGAGCTGTGTTGTAAAGTGCTGGTCTGAAATCACATTCGTATGTCGAGCCGTCTGTCCTCCGTCCAGTAACCCTGTCGTGGCCCCGATCGAGAAATCCAAGCTTGTCGGAAAGTCCAATATCGGCGATAGCGTCTAGTGTGAAGAAGTTTGTCCACTTCCGATAGTCGAGGTTCACGTCCTCAGGCTTCGGTAGCTGTCCAGGAGACAATGGTGAGGTGCAGCACTCGTCAAAGTGATTTAGTAGCTTCTGCGTCTTGTCGGCTACCTTGTGCTCCCAGCCCTCCAGATTCTTGATTGCATACGCAGAGCTCATCAACTTCCTCTTCCGCGCATGATCATGTTTGTCAATGGCATCGGCAAGATGGTAATGTGAGCCTGCAGTAACAACGTACGATCCGTCCTTGGTACAGGGAGTGTTATGGCCGTAGATGTCTTTCACGGCTCGAAGATCGCCGTACGACAGGAAGTTGGGGCCCACACGGATTACTGGATGCTTTCGATGTAGTTTCTCAAGGTATGTGGATCGCGCTCCGCCGTGCGCAAGCACCATGAACGGGATCGAAGATATGCCCGATAGCGGGTGCATGTTCGGGTAACGCCGAAGACCTGAGATGTCAGTTGATATTATTATTGTACTTGATGGCTGACATACCATTCGCATCCCGGAAGTAAACGACTACAGGATAAATAACAAAGTAGAAGAGAGCGCATGCGCCTAGCGCAGCAGCATACGGAATGGAAATGACCGCTGTAGACATCTTGGGTCGTGATCAATACAACAGCGACGTTGAAATTAATCTCATCAGCAGCTTTGCGTAGTGGTAGTATGGATTGTGCGATTGAAAGTTTACTTAAGTGCTTGTCGCGGTATCTCAATGCCCGTTGACGCAGCCGCAAAAGTGAATGACTGCATCCCAAGTTTACCAAGAAGGGTATGCTTCGGAGAATGACGGCCTATTGCGGAATGCATTGCTATGAACGGTATATGCGGGCTTGCAAAGTTAAATCGGGAACTACGCGTGGACACCAACTGACAGCTAAAGTGTGGGGTAACGCGGGGATGCCATAGTTTACTCGCGTCATGATCCTCACTGCCATGAGCGTTTAAGCATCTCCACGGACTACCGAAAGCGTTGCGCCCTGAAAAGTCTGGTTGTTATCAACAATTCAGGCCTGGCAGTCATGCCCGAGAACGATGGGTTGGTGCAAGTACTTGTGCGGCTGTCATCAGTGGCCCACGTGCTCTTGACTAGTTGAGAGATACCATTTGCTTCTCCCTGGCTATATCGTCGCCTCAGCCTGTCAAACCTTTGTAGGCTACTTTGCTTCCTTCTGTTATCATGGATTCACTTGGTCTACCACTTGACATGTCAGAGTTGAGGTCACAACTCAATCCTCTTCTGCAAGCACTCAGCACAACACCGGTGTTCAGCAGTTTGAAGCCCTCGACTGCAGCAGACGGACTAGCTGCATTTCTATTTCTTCTTACATCGCTCGGGTATATCACTCGTGGTCGCATTTGGGACAAGCCAGACCCGAACTACCATGTAAGGAGACTACTTCCCCGTGACTTTGCATCCTTGATGTCGCAGCATTACTGACCGTGCTGTTATTATAGGTGTATTTTGAGAGACCACAGGTCGCAGAGGGCTTTTCAGACGGGAAGACCACTTCTACGCGCAACGTTTGCCAACGCCTCGATGAGGGCGGCTACCATTGCGTCATCTTTTGGGGCTCACAGTCTGGTACATCGGAGCGCCTCGCCGAAAACTTGGGTCGAGAGTGCGGCGCGCGCTACGGAGTGAATACCTTGGTCGCAGACCTATCCGATTACGATGCCGAGAGTATTGCGAAGATCCAGAACAAGTACTTCGCCATCTTCATCCTGAGCACATATGGCGAAGGCGATCCGAGCGATAACACTACCGGCCTTTGGGATTGGATCAAGCGGGTAGGCGACGACAATATTCGGCTTGAGAGCTTGCGATACCTGGCGTTCGGTCTCGGTAATAGCAACTACAAATACTACAACAGGGTCCTCGATGTCGTCGCCGATGCCCTAGATGCTGCAGGCGCTACTGCGCTGATGCCACGGCAGAGAGCCGACGATGCCAATGGTGGCACAGAGGAGGACTACCAAGCATGGAAAGATGATGTCTTCACTCTGCTTGCTCAGATGGGGTTCGAAGAGAAGGCTGTCACTTACGAGCCGACGATGGGGGTTGATCTCGCCGCCGTGAGCCCTGGTCCCGAAGCAAATTCCGCCACCTCGGTACACCACCAACGATCTGCCTTGAACTCAGCCATAGTTCCTTTGACCATTAAACACTCTCGCGAGTTGTTCGTGTCGGGGGATCGCAACTGCGTGCACTTGGAAGTGGATCTGGGCAATACGGACATCGTGTACAAGACTGGGGATCATATCGGCATCTGGCCCGTCAACCCTGAGGAGGAAGTCAACCGACTGCTCGACATACTCGGCTTGCAAGACCGTAGACACGACTGCCTCACCGTAGCACCGAAGAGCAGTTCCGACAAGTCAAAGATACCGTCGCCGTGCACGCTCGAGATAGCTTTCCGCAATCATCTAGAGGTTTGCGCGCCTGTGGCTCGGAAGGCTGTGCTCGAACTTGCTCAGTTTGCGCCCACCCCTCAAGCCAAATCGAAGCTCCTCGGCATTGGGCAGGACCGTGGGTGTTACGAGCGGTTCACGTCTTCTGCACACGTCACGTTCGCTCGGCTGCTCGAGCTTGCCATCCCTGGTGCTGCGTGGACCTCGATACCGCTCGCCTTCGTTATCGATAACTTGCTGCCACTCCAGCCGAGATACTACTCCATCTCTTCAAGTTCCGTAACGTCTCCCCGGCGCATCGCGATCACCGCACTGGTAGTCAATAAGACGATCACGACTGAAGACCAGTCAAGAACCACAATTCCTGGCCTGACGTCCAATTACCTCTTATCGGCATCCAATCTTCGCCCGGCCGGAAATACGCCAATTCCCACCTATCACCGCTCAGTCGGAAGTGGAGACATCCAGGGCCAAACGGTTCTCGCGCACGTGAGGAAGTCGAAGTTCAAGCTGCCCATCACAGCTTCGACTCAATTGATCATGGTCAGCGCTGGTACCGGTTTCGCTCCTTTCCGTGCGTTTCTCCAGGAGCGCGCCAAATTGCATGCGATTGGTAAGCCGATTGGCAAGATGTTGCTGTTCTTCGGATGTCGGAACCAGGAGGACTAC